CCCCAAAACCCCAAAACCCCAAAACCCCAAAACCCCACTTATTCGAGATTAGATTGAAATTTTAAGAATATTCAAGGAAGGAATAGGACACATCAAAGGGAGGTAAGGAGCCACACTCTTTTTCTACGAACAAGTGGATATTTCCCACTGTGTCGATCAAGATGGGGTAGTCAATAACTCCTGCGCGGTCTATCTTGTCTAGTTTTTCAATTCTGTATTCTGACTCGATGTCCATGCAGAAGACCTATAGAATACAAAACATGACTTACTGCGTCAGATTCTTTCCCAAGCTTTTCCAATCCACCTATCAGCAAGATCTTTGTGGTAGATATCTTTATGCTAGAGAACCTTCTGAGAGGAGTTGGCATTTCTATCTTGAGAGCAGTCATCACGCCTTTATCGGCCTCATATCTTTCAACAGATCCAAGAGTTCCTATTTCTTTGTTGTAACCACCGAAGATGTAAATTATTGTCTCTTCAAAGACACATGAGGAAGATTGGGACCTTCCAGTATGAAGGTTTCCTGACTATAAATTAGACAGATTTTCTTACACTATCATTCGGAGTCCACTCATCTTTCTCAATATCATATTGCTCTCATTGCTTAAGCTGGATCTTGTCAAAGATGTCAAAGCCTCCAAATGTATAGATCTTGCCTTTGAGATTTACAGCTGAAAAGAATGATTTTTCAGGCATTGGAGCCTTCTCAACCATTACTGAGTCTTTATAGTTAAAGCAGTTTTTCTTAACACCTCCGAGAATAAAGAACTCTCCTTCCTCATTTCCAGAGATAACAACCACGTGGCTATGAAACTCTGTTGATGACTTAGCATGGGTTTTCCATTTAAGGGGTTCTTCGAGATCAGGGTCGATGTTTAAAGGAACTTTCCCTACTCTTCTACCCCCTGCTTCAAACCAGAACATTTGAGTTCCATATGTAACGAAAAGATTATTTTGTTCAACATAATTTCTGAAAAGATCAGCTTGAGTCATAAAAGCGTCTCCAGAGTTCTTATGAGAAGGAAGAGAGTCTTGAGTAGAATTAATATGAGGCGAATTCCCCACTGGAGCATTTACTTCTGCTGACTCCCAATGGTTCCTGTTGTTGCCCAAACTTGAAGATATTGGGTGATTTGGAGGGTTAGGTAACACTGAAGGCTCTTTAGACTCTTCAGCTAGTGAATCATTGTCAGCTTTATTTTCTTCATCTCCCTCTCCTTCTTTCTTCTCCTCAGCAGGGGATTGCAAAGTATTCTCCTCACTAGTAAGGACAAGCTTAGCTAGTTCAACAAAGCTAGGTCTTTCTGCTTCTTCAAACTTTAGCATGAGACGTAGGATCTCTCATATATGCTCAGAAAAGCTTTTTCTGAGTTTTCTGAGTCCTCTTTCTATCATGTCTTCCCCTTCATTAAGATTATTAAATCCTGTTACATCTTCCATCGATGCAATTTGAAAGAAGACCAGGCCAGCTGAGAATACATCAGACTTATAAATATTATGAGTTGAGTGTCTTGTATTCTTATCTACCACATAAGCCTTCCAAAGTATAGGACTCAGATACTGAGGAGTGCCTCTGATAGTTGCAAGGGTAGGATCACCTCCGTCATCGGATTCACTGAAGTGGTCTTTACTTTCTCCAAAATCAATCACTTTCATCTCTCCATTGGGCATGATGAATAAATTACTTGGTTTGATATCTCTATGGCAGATTCCAATACTCTGTAAGAAACTGAGCGTAGAAATTAGAGACACTATAAGCTTCTCAAGAGATTTCTCAGACCAGTAGAGACCTTTCTGTTTCTTTTTCCTGAAGATCCTTTCTAAATTCATGTTTTCATCCATCAGCTCACAGACAATAGCAAGTCTGAAAGTCTGGACTTGAGTCTCGTAGAAATAGTAGTTGTAAGTCTGTAAAACATTAGGATGATTTTTAATTTTCATCAGTTGGACAGCCTCTTCTTTGTACTCATTCAGCTTCTCAATATTCTTAGCTTCAATCTCTTTTAGAGCAAAGTATTTCTTACTAGGCTTGTGAAGAGCTTTGAATATCTTGGTATTCTTCTTACCAGATCCTAACAAGTCTACTTTTTTGAAGTCTTCTCTTCTGAACATATTTAAATGATTCTTATTTAAATTTATAGACCCAATTTTGGCTTAGAGGATCGGGGTTTTGGGGTTTTGGGGTTTTGGGGTTTTGGGG